TATCCGACGAAACAGTTTGTCACAGCCCCTCGTTTGTTGTCCTCTTCTCTCTCTCTGCCTACGGTTTACCGGGCAGTTCTGTTTGTGACGATATACGTGGCGCTGAACCATACGAACGTGGGCAACCTTGCATTTTGTACTATATTAGCTATCTATACTTTTTTGTTATGGATGGATGGTTCGTTATGATTTGTGGAGGAAATGAGAGGGAGGATTTGAGGTGCTATAACAACACACACACACACACACACACACACACACACACACACACACACACACACACACACAGAGAGAGAGAGAGAGAGAGAGAGAGAGCTGAGATTGTGCTTTCGTTCGTTGGTTGCTGCAGGGTAACATGTTTGCCTGGTGTCGCGGGGCAGTGGCGCAAAAATCCATGAAGATGTGATCTTTGAACTTGTGACCTGTGGATTCGCTGTGCAGTGGAGTCTGTAAAAAGAGGAAGGTGAAATGTAAACGCAAGCGGAAGCGGGATTGTGTTAGTACTTGGCATTAGCGAAGTTGGGACGGAGCGCAGCTACTGAGCACTAACTAGGAAGTCACAAGGGAAGCCGACGACGCTGTGCCGTAAGCGTGTGGCAATCGATCAACAACGTAGAACAGAGTGGAGAAAGGAGATAAAGTGAGGAGATAAAGTGAGGTGAGTGGAGAGGAGAGGGAGGAGGGGAGGGGAGGGGAGGGGAGGGGGAGTTCCAGCAGTGCTGACGTCTCTGTTGTTGGATGTGCAGTCGTTGTGAAATGGGTAATTTGACGATCTTTCGTGGCCGTGTTCATCCGCAAACGATGTCATCTCTCTGCGTTACGTGGACCGCGATTTGTTGCGCTGCTCTTCTCTTTCCGTGTGTCTCACCAACACCAACTCCGCACACACTCGCCGCACCGCAGCGTAAGCTCTTGCAAGTCGATCAAATGACTCCGTGTCCGATAAATATGTACCAAGATGTTGATTGGACACCATTGTCAAGTAGCTGCAATGGAAGTAATATGACCGTTGCAACGTGTTGTGTACCCTTTGGCCAAATTACTAGCCCGCTTAACGACGTGATTGGTCAGTATGTGCAGTGCCAGAACGATGTCCTTGATGTGCTCCAAGTTAATGGAATGGATGCGGTGACGTTCACTAAAACGTGCACGTCAGGCGATAAGCTCATTCTCACTGACAATCCTGTGCAGAGTTCGCCATTGACGCCGTCCAGGCCGCTACCTTTGCCCGCACAGTCGTCCAAAATGCCGCTGCCGTCGAGACCACCGCCTGTTGCTGGCAGCGCCCATATCAGCGGGCTGGCAAGTTCTGCGAGTGTGGGTAATTCGGTGAAGGAAAAAAATAAGGCAATGGGTAATTCCGATGGGGGCAGCGAGGTCAGTCAAGGGGGGGGTAGCAGATTGACTGCGAGAGTGAATCTAACTTTCCTTTTCGGTGTTGTCAGTGCATGCATCTGGATCCCACAAGCTTTGTTCTGGATGGGCTGACGGATCCCACCAGCCTTTTTTCGGGATGGGCTCACAGATGCCCTTTTGGACTTTTCTAAACAGGATAGCCTGACAGATGCTTCCCCGACTGTAAGTGGCACCTCTCTCTCTCTCATCTATCTATCTATCTCATCAACCTTTGAGTGCTTCCGCTCTGGAGCGTTTAACAGAGAAAACCTTTCATGGAACGGATCCCGGTTCTTGTGCCTTCTTTCTTTTTCCCTCCTTCGGCACCTATCTATCTATCTATCTATCTATCTATCTATCTATCTATCTATCTAATCTATCTATCTATCTATCTATCTATCTATCCATTTATCTATCTATCTATTCATCTATCTATGCATCTATCTATCTATCTATCTATCTATCTATCTATCTATCTATCTATCTATCTATGCGTCTATCTATGCGTCTATCTATCTATCTATCTATCTATCTATCTATCTATCTATCTAAACTGATCTCCCTCTCTCTCTCCCACACACATACAAACACACACTTTTATGAACTATAATATATTTATACGTGTAATTTGCGCGAGTGTGCCGCTTCGGTGGCAGACATGTGTGTGGGCACTTGGCGTTTAACCAGACAAACGTGGCCAACCTTGCATTTTCTACTAATTGCCTATCTTTTTCGTGGATGGTTTGTGATTTGTGTATGGAATGAGGGAGAGAGTTTGGTGTTTTTGTCACACACACACACACACACACACACACACACACACACACACACACACACGCACACACACACACACACACACACACACACACACACACACACTTTCATGAGTAGGTGAAAGTCCGATGGAGCAGTCTGCCACAGTCCTGGTTTTCTTTGCGGAGTTGTGTATAGCGAATACGACGACACACACGTGCGCGCACACGCACAAACACACACACACACACACACAAATTCGGTGCCCTGCTGTAGAGCATGGGCTTTCTGTTGATGAAGGCCTGTTTGTGGGTGGCCACAGTGTTTTTGGGCGGGAATGTTTGTTTGGAGTCATGGCCACGGTATCTTCGTGAGGAGGCTCAGAGAGTCTTTGCTGTGGGTGTCACTCCCCCGGGCTGCCCTTTTGGAGCACATGGAAGATGGTAGTCCTTCCGTGGTGTTTTAAGCACTAGTGCTCCTGGTGTCGCGTGGAGATTCTGTGAATGTATGCTTTAAGTTCTGGCCACAGTATCTTGGCGAGGAGGCTCAGAGAGTGTTTGCTGTGGGTGCCATTCCCATGGGCCTGCTCTTTTGGAGCACATGGAAGAAATGGGGACTTCCAGGGTGTTTTAACTTTTAAGCGGTAGCCCTCCTGGTGTCGCGTGAAGATCTTGTGGTCTTCGGAATTATGGTACTCTAGATGGGGACTTTTTAGACACGGAAGGGTAGAGATAATGGGTTGGCGTAAGTGTGTCGTTTGGGAGGAATAGGAGTGCCAGTGCTGCTGCTGTGCTTGAGGGCTGACTCGGAGGGCGCTCCAAGATTTTTCGGACTATGCTGCCTCTGGTCGGTGCTTTCTTGCCGGTGCAGCCTTCTGTGTTAGGTATGTTGTCTTCTGCCCTTTACCGTTGTTTTTATAGATTGAAAAAACTTCAACAAATATATATATATATATATCGTGTGCAAGTGTGCCGCTTCAGCGGCGGACGGGTGTGTGGGCACTTCCCGCTCAACCACACAAATGTGGGGAACCTTGCATCTTCAATTATGTTGATCATCTATACTTTTTTTGTTTATGGATGGTTTGTGATGGTATGAGGATGGAATGTGTGTGTGTGTGTGTGTGTGTGAGAGAGAGAGAGAGAGAGAGAGAGAGAGAGAGAGAGAGAGAGAGAGAGAGAG